TATATAGTAGATACCGCGATACATCATCACCGGTACCATTAGATATACATCGTACCTTGACTGTTTGGGGGTTCCAGCGTCACGTATACAATGTGAAACGCGACAAAGAAAACGTCTCTGATTGGTGGACAAGACGAACCCAAAAAGGGTATAAAAGAAGCGTTTTTTCTTGCCGGACTCTCAGTAGAGTTTGGTCGCTCGATCGTTTTCGCCCATATACCTTCTCTCAATAAAGGAATAAAATAAAGTCCTTTTAAGCAAAGAATTAGAATCATATTCATTTCCATTCCATAATCCCAATAGAAACAATTTCCCGACAACGGTTTGCAAGCCGTATATCGGTGGGTCGATTTAAATCGGTCGCCCTGTATAAGTAATACGCGGCAAAGGTTCGGTGCAACGTAGAATCGATCTCGATCGTTTCGTTCGCGAAACGATGACTCGACGACGCGACGCCCGAAATTCCTCGAAGAGGTTGGTATTCGTGGGGAGCCGAAGAAGAGATAGAAGCCAGAGATAGGCCCCCGTGTAGTCGGTTAAGCCGAGCAGAAAGACTCCCAAGGGCTAATCGAATTATCGAGTTACCTAAACCGAGATGCTGGCTCGAATTCGTAATAACGCCTAAAAGAACCCTTCGAAGAGGGTCTTTAGGGTCTGTACACGGCTGCCGGGAGAGCCGAGATTACATCGATCGAGCGAGATTACGAAAACCGGGCCAAATTGAGCCGTAATGTGAGATCTCCGCCAGGAAGGAGGATAAACGCCCGGAGAAAATGAGAAAAACGAACTGGAATCGGTCTACCCTACCCTTTGTGGACCGGCCAAGGAGGATCCGAGCGGCGCGCCGGTGTGCGCCGGTACACGCGTCCGTGTGAATTGTGCGTGTACGCGACGTCCAAGACCGGTTTCTCGTAACATCGTTTCTACATCGTGTGTACAAGGATCCTGTCCCGGGTATGCTTTAACTAATTCACCTACCGGCCAGAGATTCTCATATCTTCCCGAGATACCAATACCGATCTCGAACTTCGCTCGCAGGTGAACCGAATCTTCACCTCGAGGAGGCGGAATCTCACGAACATCTGCTGCAATTCGGTTT